ACAACTGCATCTCCAACAACCGCCGCTCCAACAACCGCAGCACCCACAACTGCTGCACCCACAACTGCAGCTCCAACAACTGCAGCTCCCACAACTGCTGCAAGCACAAATGTTGCTCCAACAATTGCAGCAGCCACAACTGCAGCTCCCACAAATGCTCCTCCAACAACTGCAGCATCCACAACTGCAGCTCCCACAACTGCTGCCCCCACATCTGCTGCTCCAAAAACTGCTGCACCCACAACTGCTGCCCCCACAACTGCAGCTCCAACAACTGCAACTCCAACAACTGCAGCACCCACCACTGCAGCCCCAACAACTGCATCTCCAACAACCGCCGCTCCAACAACTGCTTCACCCACAACTGCGGCTCCGACAACTGCTGGCCCAACAACTGCTGCCCCCACAACCGCAGCTCCATCAACTGCTGCCCCCACAACTGCAGCTCCCACAACTGCGGCTCCGACAACTGCAGCACCCACAACTGCTGGTCTCACAACTGCTGCTCCAACAACTGCTGCCCCCACAACCGCATCTCCAACAACTGCTGCCCCGACAACTGCAGCTCCCACAAGTGCAGCCCACACAACTGCGGCTCCAACAACTGCTGGCCCAACAACTGCTGCCCCCAGAACTGCAGCTCCAACACCTGCTGCCTCCACAACTGCTGCTCCCACAAGTGCAGCTCCTACAACTGCAGCCCCCACAACTGCTGCTCCAACAACTGCCGCACCCACAACTGCTGCCCCCACAACTGCAGTTCCAAGAACTGCAACTCCAACAACTGCAGCACCCACAACTGTAGCCCCAACAACTGCATCTCTAACAATCACCGCTCCAACAACTGCAGCACCCACAACTGTTGCACCCACAACTGCAGCTCCAACAACTGCAGCTCCCACAACTGCTGCAACCACAAATGTTGCTCCAACAATTGCAGCAGCCACAACTGCAGCTCCCACAACTACTGCTCCAACAACTGCAGCATCCACAACTGCAGCTCCCACAACTGCTGCCCCCACAACTGCTGCTCCAACAACTGCTGCACCCACAACTGCAGCGCCAACAACTGCAACTCCAACAACTGCTAGCCCAACAACTGCTGCCCCCACAACTATAGCTCCCACAGCTGCTGCTCCAACAACTGCTGCCCCCACAACTGCTGCTCCAACAACTGCCGCACCCACAACTGCTGCCCCCAGAACTGCAGCTCCAACAACTGCAACTCCAACAACTGCAGCACCCACAACTGCAGCCCCAACAACTGCATCTCCAACAACCGCCACTCCAACAACCGCAGCACCCACAACTGCTGCCCTCACAACTGCAGCTCCAACAACTGCAGCTCCCACAACTCCTGCAACCACAAATGTTGCTCCAACAACTGCAGCAGCCATAACTGCATCTCCCACAACTGCTGCTCCAACAACTGCAGCACCCACAACTGCAGCTCCCACAACTGCTGCCCCCACAACTGCTGCTCCAACAACTGCTGCACCCACCACTGCGGCTCCGACAACTGCTGGCCCAACAACTGCTGCCCCCACAACTGCAGCTCCCACAACTGCTGCTCCAACAACTGCAGCACCCACAACTGCGGTCCCCACAACTGCAGCTCCAACAACTGCTGCTCCCACAACTGCAGCAACCACAACTGCGGCTCCTACAACTGATGGCCCAACATCTCCTGCCACCACAACAACAGTTCCAACAAATGCTGCCCCCACAACTGCAGCTCCCACAACTGCTGCCCCAGCAAATGCAGCTGCCACAACTGCTGCCCCAACAACTGCTGCTCCAACAACTGCAGCACCGACGACTGCAGCCCCCACAACTGCTGCTCCAACAACTGCGGCTCCAACAACTACTGCCCCCACAACTGCAGCACCCACGACTGCGGCTCCGACAACTGCTGGCCCAACAACTGCTGCCCCCTCAACCTCAGCTCCCACAACTGCAGCACCCAGAACTATTGCTCCCACAACTGCAGCTCCAACAACTGCAGCACCCACAACTGCAGCTCTCATAACTGCTGCACCCACAACTGCAGCTCCCACAACTGCAGCTCCCACAACTGCTGCCCCCACAACTTCAGCCCCCACAACTGCTCCTCCCACAACTGCTACCCCCACAACTGCTGCTCCAATAACTGCTGCCCCCACAACTGCAACATCCAGAACTATTGCTCCCACAACTGCAGCTCCGACAACTGCAGCTCCCACAACTGCAGCCCCCACAACTGCTGCTCTCACAACTGCTGCCCCCACAACTGCTGCTCCAACAACTGCAGCTCCCATATTTTCAGCACCCACAACTGCAGCACCCAGAACTATTGCTCCCACAACTGCAGCTCCAACAACTGCAACCCCCACAACTGCTGCCTCCACAACCGCAGCTCCCACAACTGCAGCTCCCACACCTGCAGCTTTCACAACTGCAGCACCCACAACTGCAGCCCTAATAACTGCTGTTGTCACAACTGCACCTCCAACAACCGCAGCCCTAACAACTCCAGCATCAACAACAGCTGCTCCCACAACTGCTGGCCACACAACAGCAGCAGCCACAACTGCGGCTCGGACAACTGCAGCTCGGACAACTGCAGCCCCAAACACTGCGGCCCCAACAACTACAGCACCTACAACGGCTGCCCCCACCATCACAGCACCCATAACTGCTGCTCCGACAACTGCAGCTCCTACAACTGCAGCTCGGACAACTGCAGCCCCAACAACTGCAGCCCCTACAACTGCAGCCCCCACAGCTGCATCCCACACAACTGCAGCTCCAACAACTGCAGCCCCAACAACTGCAACCCCAACAACTGTGGCCCCAACAACTGCAGCACCCACAACTGCAGCTCTCACAACTGCAGCTCTCACAACTGCTGCCCCCACAACTGCTGTCCCAACAACCGCAGCTCCCACAACTGCAGCTCTCACAACTGCAGCTCTCACACCTGCTGCCCCCACAACTGCTGCCCCCACAACCGCAGCTCCCACAACTGCTGCTCCCACAACTGCAGCTCTCACAACTGCAGCACCCACAACTGCAGCTTCCACAACTGCAGCCACCACACCTGCAGCTCCCACAACTGCTGCCCCCACAACTGCTGCCCCCACAACCGGAGCTTTCACAACTGCAGCTCCCACAACTGTAGCTCCAACAACTGCGGCTTCAACAACTGCTGCTGCCACAACTGCTGCTGCTCCCACAACTGCTTCACCATCAACTGCAGCTCCAACAACGGCAGCCCCAACAACTCCAGCATCAACAACAGCTGCTCCGACAACTGCTGGCCCCACAACAGCAGTCCCCACAACTGCGGCTCCGACAACTGCATCTCGGACAACTGCTGCCCCCACAACTGCAGCCCCCACAACTGCTGCTCCCACAACTGCTGCCCCCACAACTGCTGCTCCAACAACTGCAACTCCAACATCTTCAGCACCCACAACTGCAGTTCCAACAAATGCAGCACCCACAACTGCAGCTCTCACAACTGCTGCCCCCACAACTGCTGTCCCAACAACCGCAGCTCCCACAATTGCTTCCCCCACAACTGCAGCTCTCACAACTGCAGCTCTCACAACTGCTGCCCCCACTACTGCTGCCCCCACAACCGCAGCTCCCACAACTGCAGCTCCCACACCTTTAGCTCTCACAACTGCAGCACCCACAACTGCAGCTCCCACAACTGCAGCTCCAACAACCGCAGCCCCAACAACTCCAGCATCAACAACAGCTGCTCCGACAACTGCTGACCCCACAACAGCAGCACCCAGAACTGCGGCTCCGACAACTGCATCTCGGACAACTGCTGCCCCCACAACTGCTGCCCCCACAACTGCAGCTCCCACAACTGCTGCTCCAACAACAGCAGCACCCACAACTGCGGTTCCAACAACTGGGCCTCCTACAACTCCAAGTAAGGAAGTGATGGCTTATGCTCACCATGAGAAAGAATTTTCATAGTATACATTTTTAGCCTATGCATAGCTGTCAGTTGGATTCTTCAAAAAATGAAACTTACAAATTGTAAATTGACATGCGAAATCATTTCAAAACTTATGGGGTTAATGGGGTTCAAATACATTTGTAGAGTTTGACTTAATTTTCTTTCTTTTTGTTTTGACCTTTGCTACAATAGTGCAGTTGATACATTCCTAAGATTTGGAGCTGTGTGTGCTGCTCTTCACTATATTCTTTTAATACTGACATATGCAAATTATTTTTTTGAATGAATTTCTCGGTTAATATATTTCATTGTCCGTACAGGCTTGACATCATTGGCACATCTACAGATGAGTTTACAGTCCTTTGGAGAGGTCAGCAATGACACTATCATTGAGCTCATAAAACAGGTATGTAAAACAGAATATGCAAAATAACTGTTTTGTGAAGGCTCTTCAGCTCACATCATCAATTATAATGCATACACACAAGATATCGGATGAGATTAGGGAGTGAGATCGTTCTGCTGATGTGTATTCTCTGTGTTTTCTCTCCATGTAGTTCTTTAATAAACAGCTGAATGGAACAGCCCACACAGTCACTGTGACACTCATTCAAAGGGTTGGAGTTGGCCCATAGAAGAGTCATGTGGACAGAAATAGTCAAAAATGGGNAACAACTGCTGCCCCAACAACTGCAGCTCCAACAACTACTGCCCCAACAACTGCTGCACCCACAACTGCTGCCCCCACAACTGCTGCTCCAACAACTGCAGCCCCAACAACTGCCGCCCCCACAACTGCAGCTCCAACAACTGCTGCCCCCACAACTGCAGCCCCCACAACTTCTGCTCTAACAACTGCAGCCCCAACAACTGCAGCTCCAACAACTGCCGCCCCCACAACTGCAGCTCCTACAACTGCTGCCCCCACAACTGCAGCACCAACAACGGCCGCTCCAACATCTGCTGCCCCCACAACTGCAGCACCCACAACTGTGGCTCCGAGAACTGCTGCTCCAACAACTGCAGCACCCACAACTTCAGCTCACACAAGTGCTGCCCCAACAACTGCAGCCCCCACAACTGCAGCTCCAACAACTGCTGCCCCAACAACACCAGCACCAACAACGGCCGCACCCACAACTGCAGCCCTAATAACTGCTGTTGTCACAACTGCAGCACCCACAACTGCAGCACCGACAACTGCTGCCCCCACAACAGCAGCACCAACAACTGTAGCTCCAACAACCGCAGCCCCAACAACTCCAGCACCCACAACGGCTGCTCCAACAGCTCCTGCCCCCACAACTGTGGCTCCCACAACTGCAGCCCCCACAACTGCTGTTCCCACAACTGCAGCTCCAACAACTGCAGCCCCCACAACTGCAGCACCCACAACTGCAGCTCCCACAACTGCGGTTCCAACAACTGGGCCTCCTACAACTCCAAGTAAGGAAGTGATGGCTTATGCTCACCATGAGAAAGAATTTTCATAGTATACATTTTTAGCCTATGCATAGCTGTGTCAGTTGGATTCTTCAAAAAATGAAACTTACAAATTGTAAATTGACATGCGAAATCATTTCAAAACTTATGGGGTTAATGGGGTTCAAATACATTTGTAGAGTTTGACTTAATTTTCTTTCTTTTTGTTTTGACCTTTGCTACAATAGTGCAGTTGATACATTCCTAAGATTTGGAGCTGTGTGTGCTGCTCTTCACTATATTCTTTTAATACTGACATATGCAAATTATTTTTTTGAATGAATTTCTCGGTTAATATATTTCATTGTCCGTACAGGCTTGACATCATTGGCACATCTACAGATGAGTTTACAGTCCTTTGGAGAGGTCAGCAATGACACTATCATTGAGCTCATAAAACAGGTATGTAAAACAGAATATGCAAAATAACTGTTTTGTGAAGGCTCTTCAGCTCACATCATCAATTATAATGCATACACACAAGATATCGGATGAGATTAGGGAGTGAGATCGTTCTGCTGATGTGTATTCTCTGTGTTTTCTCTCCATGTAGTTCTTTAATAAACAGCTGAATGGAACAGCCCACACAGTCACTGTGACACTCATTCAAAGGGTTGGAGTTGGCCCATAGAAGAGTCATGTGGACAGAAATAGTCAAAAATGGGTGCATGAAGACAGCAATTCAAAGTTGTGCTAATGGTATTGTTTAAACAAAATTTGAAGGGGCAGTTCACCTCAACCGTTTCACCATATCTGGAAAGATATGATAGTGAAGACAACACATCAAATGTCATTGTACTCCACTGTATTGAGGTAATCTAAAACCATTATCTTAAAATCACCAGAAATACCTGGATTGTACTTCAGGTGCAAGCTAAAGTATTTTTGATTAAACACAGAGGCTTAGATTTTGGAATCAGTGCCATCATCTGCCTCCTTATCAACCTTTTGTCAAATTAAAAAACAAAAAAACTTGTCAACAAGAGGAGCCATTGTCACTCTATAATCCCTAAACAATATGTCCAGGAATGTGAAGTGGAGATGTGCATTTGGCTCAAGTGTCAAATTATTTGCACAGTACAATGGGAAGCTCAAACCACACAATCTCACCTGTCAAAGAGGTTTTTCAAAGGGTGTCAATAATTCCCATGTTCTCTAACCGGAGGAGCTGGTGCCATGCTGAGAAGCCTGGTAACAAGGAAACACTCTGTCCTTTCATCATACATGAATGAGGAAATGTTTCACCCATAACACTGGCAACAATAACTTCAGTGAGTCCCTCATACCAAGTGTGTGATGATTGTTCCCCAAATCTGGGAAATTAACAGCCTGTGAAGTATTACTGACAAAATGCAGTCATGTGTTTTGAATGTTAATCTGTTTTGCCTTTTGTCATCAAGAATTGATTTATTAAGCACATGGAATGTATTTTTCCAATTCACTGGAAAACCTGTGTATGAAAGTACTCCTTGTTTGTGGCATGGGAGGTATTGTACTATAAAACAACGCCTTAAAGTATTTCAGTACAGAGACGGGAGACATCCTGTGTGCAGATTCATTTTTAAAAAAGAAGCTTGAGGTGCACATTAATGATTAAGTGTACATGTTTGAGTTAGGTTTTGTGTGGTTTTGGTTTTTTGCCCTCTGTTTCAGTCTTTTGTCTGTTTGGTCAACTGGTATTTATGTTTTATCGGTGGGGAAGATAAAGAAATGTCTAAAACTGTTACAAATTTAAGCAGGATAAACCATGTGTGGTCCTATATTTCAGACAGTATCATTCACTTCTTATTTTCTTCTTACAAGGACATGCAGCAAAATGTTTATTTTTTCACCTGCAGACAGAATGTATTTCCTCTCATCATCACTGATTTAAATACTTTTTCAAATTATTTTTATACTAAAATTCATATTTATTGTTCTCATGTATGTTATACTTTAAATGACAGATGTGACATTTTATTTGCACTCACCTTCACTTAAGGCTTTATGGCCATTACAGACTAGTTTTGCTTTGATGTAAATTTATAACATAAGATTGGAAGTCATGTTATTTTATGTTGTTATGCCTTTTTGAAAGATGAACACCGAAACAAATCTATTAAAGCTCCCAGTCTTTGTGTTCCTTTTGTGTTCTTTAATAAATCCTTTGACAAGAAATTCAGCATTTGATTTTAAAGCAAATAGAATTAAATACACATTATTTGAGTTGTGCCCTAAAACATTGTGGGAAAATACAAAACAAGTTTAATATGAAATTTCTATTAATTATATCTAAAACTTTTTCTCAAAATATCAAATACAAGTATCAGCAGAGACACACAATGCAGGAAGTATCTGAACTAGCTTCTGTAAGACGTCAAAAAGACAGTCATATTGTTCATATACTGTGGAGACCTTTGAGCTCCAAACTGTCAGCTTCAGCAGGATGTTTAGTATCCAGTCGGGCATCCACCTTATAAATTTGTCATCACATCTACGCAGCTGTCCTCTCCATCTCCCTGTGTCTGGAAATGTGTCAAGCCGAGGGCCTTGTGTATGGCTCTGCTCAGCAGCGCTGACAGGTCTGCAGCCCCCGCCACTCCCCTTGGCAGGAAGAGCTCCAGAGCACAGGTGGAGGTGTGAGGCAGACGCACACCTGGCATGCTAGCATCCTGGAAAATTAATTCAAGGAGAGGGAAGTGTTATGTGAAGATTTATCTCAAGACAGAAGAAAACATTAACATTTTAATCTTTTCAGAGACCAGTTACCTTATTGTGAACTTGAGGAACTCAAACATCTCTTTCTTGGATTATTGACTGAGAGTGTAGCCTGATAGCACAAATGTGTAATTCCTGTCCTGTTTTATTGCTTACATTCTGAATTTCAATCTTGAACTCTGGGGCCAAAAATTAACCTTAATCTGAGTTAAACAATGTAATCATTAAATACTGGTCAATGATTAAATGTCACAATTGGCTGTTCACTTCAAATATTTTCTTTGCTTTCATAGATAGACACATTCCAGTTTGAAACCGTGTCCTGAGCTCAATATTAGTTAAAACTGGACCAGTGATGACATTATGTAGCAAATAATCTAATGATGGTTGTGTGGTAATGACTCAAAATGTAGGCAAGATGTCTTTTGGAAAAGGTTGAAATTCAAACAAAATTCTTGTAATAGATTGCCAGAGTAAGTCCCCCACAGTTGAATGGTTGTGATGTGTCCCTGTTAAAGACACACTGCCTCCCAGAATCCCATTAGCGGTGGTTTCCACTCAGTTTTCTGTGTCACATGAAGCGGGCATCATTTTAGGGACCACCAGGACTTGTGATGATTTGATAGATACTAACCTGGGAGTAAAAACGCAGGGAGATCAATCTGGGGAATCCAGGAGGAGGCAGATGATCAGCTCCAGTGATGAAGGCGAGGAGGTCTTCAAAGGAATAATCTGTCTGACCATCTGATTGTGCACAAGGACAGACTTTAGACCAGATCTTCTCATACTAACATTAATGTCACTTTAAACTCAAGTCCTTATGTTCTTCACCCCTATCCTCCATCCATCCCTCTGTTCTTACCGCTGACCAAAGTGAGGACTGTTTCCCAGTGTCCAACTGTTGCTTCCTCAGCCGCCTGCAGCTGGCTGTCTGGGTGGCTGTAGCAGACAGTGAAAAGCTGTTTGAACTCTTCCAGGGTCAGAGGCTGCTGCTGTGCGCTTGTCATCACTGGCAGAAACTCCTTCCAGTGAGACAGTATCGTATCCCACAATCCACCACAGCTGTTCAACCCTTCTGTGAACTGGGAGATCATACTTGCCACCCTGAAGGGCAGCAGAAGAAATGAGTGATTGTTTAATCAGTTCACTAGCTCAGATGCTATTTGGTCTCTGTTTGCGTGTGAAAAAAAATAAGGTTAAAAAAATTAACATGAGCAGTGTTTTTTTTTTCTACTCTTCTGATAGGTCACTTTACTTGCAGCAGCCATTAAATGAATATTTCACCCACAAAATGACCATTTTTAAATCAATTCATGCCATGTTACCTTGAATTTGTGAAGAAAACTTTTTTCTCACATGGCTTCATGAAAAATGGCGAACATATTGATTTATTGTTTGATTGGGGACCACATTGGCATTTTCAATTCGAATTGAGCATAGATAAATTTCACTTTCAATTCAGTTTTAAAACTAACATTTTAGTGAAAATACATGTTTAGGGGAAGCACTGAGCATACGATAAATGAGACTTGGGTTATACTGCACAAGTTGTGTGACAGTTTGTAAAAAGATGTTTCATGATCATTTTTGCTTCTGTTAAATGTGGTTTCAGTTAATTTAAAAAAAACATACAGTATATATGGATATGTCACCGTTTTCCATGAGAGCATGCAGGAAACAACTGAGCTATCTTTACAAATTCACGGTAACACAGCATAATCAACTGATCTACAAATTGTTCATTTTGTGGGTGAAGTATGGACTTAAAGACACAACAGAGGACATGCAGTTCTTTCATACAGACATAAATACTTTATTGCTCTTGCTTCCTCTCCCGTTTGTCCTCCCACACTCTTTATTCTGAACACTTATCTGTTTAATTAGTTTATTTTCCATTTGTATTAGGTATTTGTTTTGTTATGCCAGTGTTTTGTATTGAATCGTTAGCTTGATATTTGTTATTTATTTAGTTAGTTTTGTGTCTGCGTGATGGTGCAAGAGAAATGATTTTCTTTAAATGCACTGAATAATCCCATAAGGAGTGGGCCGTGTTGAAATGGCCAGACATGAAAATAAAGGAACTAGAGAGGGCAAAAATGACAGATGTTAAAAACACAACAGACCAGTGTATTGGTTGTAAATTACAATTAAATGCATGCTATCTATGTGTGTGTGTGTGTGTGCGCGCGCGCGTGTGTCCATCAAACCTATGGTAGATGTAATGTTTGACCAGGCGAATACAGATAGATGGTATTTCGTCAGAATGGGCTGAATGGATTCCAGGGATCCCACAGCTTGACACCCAGTCACACAGACTGGGAGACAGCAGCTTCACATTGGTGCAACAATGCAGCTACAAGAAGAGCAGAGGAGCATTATTTGTGTGTGTGTGTGTGTGTGTGTGTGTGTGTGTGTGTGTTTGCTTCATGGTGCGAATAGACACATTTTTTGGGCATTTTTGCCCATTGGATGGAGGACAGTTGAGAGGTGACAGAAAACAAAGAAGTGAAACAGGGGAAATGACATGCAACTTATGTCCTCCGCTGGAGCCAAACCGGTTTGGTAAATCTATTTGTGGTCAGTGTCTTTCTAATGTGGTGGAACAGTGTAGTATAAAAACAAAAAAACCTGGAAAACAGTCGCTCATCCATACACATAAACACTGGACTAATTCACAATTTTAAAAGGACAATCAAGAAAATCTTTTTCATGCTGCATATGTTCCCAAAAACTCTGGAACATAACTATAATGCTCAGTTATTTAATGCTGTGAGAGAATTGTATTGAATGGAAGTTGTGTTTTATGGCTATTGTTTATACTTTTGTAATAAAATCACTAAATTATCTAACTATAAAAACACACTGTAGTCAGAGTAATCACAGCAATCCAAAGTAGTTCGAAGTACAAGGGTACAGGTTTTGTGTGTGTGTGTGTGTGTGTGTGTGTGTGTGTGTTACCTGTTGCAGTCGGATCTGTGCTTCAGTATCAACAATGTCTCTCCAGCTGAAGTCCTCCAAAGATGGATTTTGGCCACACATCAACTGCGATAATAAAATACAGAACAATGACAAAGTGAACACTGCAGTGCAAAATAGAGTTCAACAAAGCGGCAAGGCATTATATTATTTATTATATATTATTTCCATACACAGTTGATATGGCAAACATACATACATATTTAAACTATTTATTTATTATGTGGGAAGTGCAGTGCAGACGCACGAAAATGAGCACTTGGCAGCTGGATTGGAATCAAGGTCACAACCACAAGAATTTTAGACAAAATTGTATTTTAGGAAATTTTCTATCTACATAAAAGACACATGCACACAACCTCGTAGAGCACAGGGTGTAAACAATGAGGTCCAGGCCCGCCCTGAGCCAGAGACCAGCCAATCAGAACTCCTGCTTCATAATACTTCCTGTCTTCGAGAGCTGCGAGGTCGTAGGTCAAGAACAGACGTCCCGGAAGACCCTCAAACACAGAACTTTGCTGCAGCTCCAGCAAAGTCAATCTGTTAAAAAAAAAGTTAAAAAAAAATCTTAAGTCACGGCTTCTCATATGACATTACAATATGTAAAGTAATATTATAAAAAGTTAAGATGTAATTTCTCTTCAAGACAACATCAGAACTTCAACATCAGAAAAATATTTGCAGCTCTCCTTTGATTTATAACATTGTAAATATTAATAATCAGTATTGTGTGGTTTGGACTGTTGGTCAAAGAACACAAATAATCTAGGACATTGGGATTTTCCATAAATGTTCTGTCATTTTATAATAACTAAATTACTATTGTAAAATAAAATCAACAGTCTCATTGATGATAAAATTTTTGTTGTCCATTGTTTGTTTGTTTTTGTGTTTTTCAGCCCGACAATTTTTGTAATTATAACCATATTGCAGGGAATTTCTCCCTAAAATTACGTAAATGTTTCAAATCTCAGGCTAAAAAGTAATCAAGGAAAAAATACTATTAAACAAGTATTTTTCGGTTTATGTTACTCTAAAAATTGCAGTCATTCTGAAAGCAATGCAGAAAAAGTGAAGAAAAACAGCGATGAAAGCTCTATTTACAGTCAAGGTGGGTGCATGACTAAAATCTTGACAGGTAAAATATGAGGTAAATAATCACAACCTGAAGAACTCTCTGAGAGGTCCGTCATGGCTGTCAGTGTCCTCTCCACTGAAGGAGACGACGGGTGTCCATCTGAAACAGAAGCCCGGCCTCCTCACCACCTTCATGACGCTTTGGAGCAGGTCTCTCCCCCTCACCTGGATGTGGGTCTCCACATCTCGATCCACATTCTCCTGTCTGAACAGTCTCAGGATGGAGTCCAGGTTGAGTGTCAACTGCACACCACAGAAACAGTTTTTTTACAGGTTCAAAGGTTCTGTCATCTAATGATTACAGGATTTTTTGAAAGATTAAGATTTGGTCAAAAAGCATTACCTCCTCTGTGGTGCTGGGAACACATGGCCGGGTCTGTCTTCCCAGCTGATTGTCTTCGTTGGGGCATCTCTCTGTGCTGGCCTCCAGACAAAACTCCTTCCTTCCAAGAGACAACACACACATATATTCAGGTGATTCAGTTATATGGCTCACCATTTATAATCATTAAATATTTCCTCACAAAAACAGTTAATGCTTTACCTGTTCACCACAGGTGGCTCGCTTGCTAACATCTCAGATTCTGCCTGTTAAGAGAACAGTATTTTAACTTTATGTACTGTGAAAGAAATGTGTAAAAGTTAAATCAATAAGTTTAATTTATTGAAAACTATATTAATATAAAAAAGGAAAGCAACACACTTGCTGCTTCCATTATTTTTTTATGCAACATACTCATAACACTGAATCCATATCTGTCAGAACACTCATGCCACATATCAAAAGATAGATGCCAATAAAGCTGGAACTATGGCTCTGTTTTTCGAGAGGCTAATGTATTGTATGTAATGCATGCAGGTCATTCATACTGTAATGCATACAAACAGAGCACAGGCAAATTGCCCTTTTTTGACACTCAAAACAATCTAACATAGGGGACATGGTGGAGTGGAGTGTACATGGAGAGCGTGTGGAGGGTGACAGAGGAATCTTGCCTTGGGAACAAAGTGTGCTAGGTGTGGCACTGGAATCAAAGCAGGTGGAGGCTGTTCTGGGAGCCTTTACAAAGTGAGCTGCATCAGACCCTTTAAAATTAATTAGTATCTTTTATTTGTGATGAAGTTATGGGGGACGATTAAAATGGGAACAAAAACTAATGGAATATGAAAATGGATCATATAAGAGTAGTTAGTAAAATACTTAAGTAATCATTACTGAAAAGCCTCCACCACTAACATGGCAACAACGAAATCAACATAAAAGAGAAACCCAGAGGAGTTGCAGTTTACCTGAGGGTAATCTTGGTGGCTGAGGATGTACAAAGCACCATGTCCGGAAATTTTGAGGACCTGCTCTCCAGTCCAGCATTCTGCAGGGGTGTCTGGGACAAACAGCACCCTGGAGCCCGGCACACACTGGAGACCACACATACTATCAGATATAAATAGTTCAAAATGTGGAAGAACTGGAGGGAATCTTGCTGGCTTCACTGTCAGATTTCTGATTTACTTTACCATGTGGAAAGCTAAACTTAATCCTAAATTCAGTCTTAATATGTAGCCCAGGCCTTAATTCTTAGACCACAGAGGAAAGAGTGAACCAGTAAAATATGAAGTCAAGGGGTACAAATTGCAGGGCTGCACCTCAATCTTACTCTATATGCAGATGATGCTATTCTGTATTTAACTTTAATTGAGACCATGCTTGCGGTACCAATAAAAGCCAGTGATAGATACAGTCATGTATTAGGGTATAAACTAAACATGCAGAAAATTAGGCTATGACACACTGAGGTACAATCGCTGTGTCACTGAATTTGAAATACCTGTGAAAATGAGACATGGAGAAAATAAAATCCTTCAGAATATGGACTCAGCATACAGGTTAAGCTGTGCTATAAGAATGACAGTACTCCCAATTCTTATTTCTCTTTCAGAATTTGCGGTTGTATGTAAAACCGACTGCATTTAACATCTGAGACTGAATGCTTCCTAAGCTATTATTGGACAGTAAAAAACCAAGGATCGAAACAAAAATTTGTAATTGGCTAAAAGGAGCTCTCACGGCGACAGAAATACAACACACACACCTGTAGATATGTGAAGGAGAACCTTTGTCCTGCCCGTTTTGCAAACTGCCCACGGAAGAGCACTGCCAGCCGACTCTCCATCTGATTGGCCGACCACCCATAATCAATGGTGATGCTAGCAGTCATTCCCATGGCTGCAAGAATTGCCCGTTCTTTGCCTCGTGGAACAGTGAGTCTGAAAAAACAGGAAAGAAAAGCAAATTTGAATGGCTTGAGAAATGGTCACAGAGTGTTAAACTGGAGAGGGTTCATCCTCTGAAGAGCACGAATGTACCAAATTTCATTCCAATATGTTCAGTCGTTAAATATTTTGAGAGGTCCTCACAGACTAGTCCCAACAAGCAAAAACAGCCCACGTATTCCCCTTACTGACCCACACTGCACTGATAGGACAGATGGATGAAAATGATGATCTTAAGTAACACCTCTTACCTCTCCAGCTGTGTCAGGTAGTGTCCTCTGGGTATACAGACCACATCTTTGACCACAAGTCTGGTCTTCTGCGGAGTCAGTCTCTTCCACTTGAGACGGACAGCTTTGTTTGGGGAATGCTGCAGCTTAAAGTACAACATTGCACAAGAAAATGGACAGACAGATTGATAAATAGAAATAAAGCACACGAGCAGACATGTACCATGTGTAAAACTTTCTACACAGATGATAGATAAGGCAACAGATTAATGTTAACTGACTGACTGAGTAAATAACATTTCTTTTAATTAAATCTTTCCCTATGTGCTCAGGATTAGTGCACCACAGAGCACTGTTATGGCCAATACACTAAACCCAATAATCAATTACATGACATTATTGAGATGGAGGGAGGCTCAGTGGTTACAGTGATGATCATCTAATCAGATTAAATGATTTCAAGCTCCGTGTTAGCACACATGAAATGTATTGTTATTTCTTGATCAGGAAATAACAAAATAAAACCTGAATTGACGTACAGGGCTCATGATGGAAGGATCATGGGACTTCATCTCCAGCAGCTCAATCTCAGACACTCTGAGGGGATCAAACACCTGCATGGAGGGAAAGAAAACAATAAAATGACAGTTCATTTGATTGAAAACAAGAGAACCTACAAAAGAAAAGAAGACCTACTTGGAAATGTGTTACCTTGAAAAATGCAAATATCACACGCTAAACAAACCTGCGCATAAAGATCCTGTACAGCTGCTCAGCAGAGAGTCTGTATTTCATTCATAAGTTGATATTTCCACTTCTTTTCTGCAGTATTACAAAGTGGGATACGATTTACAGCCCACCCACTTTCATCACTTATTTTCACTAACCTCCATTTCTATCACAGTTTCCTCCATGAACCCCATGGACCCCAGAGCAGGGGGGCAGTGCTCGGCCTCTGTCTTGGTGGGAGACTCTTTTTTGGGCTTGGCCTGCTGCCTGGGTGGGGTCGGATCCTCAGGCTCTGGTTCCTCCTCAGAGTCAGGTACCAGAGGATGCTCCAGATGTCTCTGGGTTCAAGAAAGGGAAGGCAAGATGTTTACTATGCATGAGCATTCAACAACAAACAAAATGCTATTTATTTCATTGTGTTTTGGTGGTGGCAGAAATTTCTCAAAACCTGGGAAAATACCATAAAATTTCAATTAATAACCTGGGCAATTATTTATTTAGATCACTGAAATCAACAGGCCTATATCTGGGCTAAGTGTTTAATTCCTTTCACACAAAACTGTTGTTCAGCAAAGATTGGGAAACACAATCAAATTGTTTGTTTAAGCCTGACAGAGTGAATTGATCCTTTAGTGTAACTATCAGCACCTGGATTAACCAAAGGACTGTGGTGCTACAATAACATCAGCTAAGTTTTAGATAAAATCACTCTCTGGTATCTCATATTGACCAGTCACATGAACTTACCAAATGGAATCAGAAGCGTCTAATCTCTCTCCATTCAATTTTCATGTACCACAGTTCCAACTATATTGATTCCTCACAGATCACCATAACTATAATGGCAAGTGTGATGCATGTTAAGTGACATATTTACATAAAGCAATCAAAGAGAAACTTTTGTAATAGCTTCAGCTTAAAGGTATGTTGTCATATTTACCTGCCATTTGAACTTTTTATGAATTACATGAGTCTTTTGCCGCACACAGAGACATTTATTAGCAGTCTGAGGATCACCACAGTGCTTCTTTTAATCCAAGCTGCATGCACAGATGCAGTTCAACAGCAGACACACCTGGTAAAAGCTCTCCTCTTCTTCCTTCTCCTCCTCCTCTTGTATTAATGTCACCATGCAGGACTCCTCTGAAGAAAACAGCTCCATCTCAATGTTTTCTGTGATGGCCAGCAGCACCGCCTTCCTTTTGCACAGTTTCATTGCTCTGATGCAACTCTAAACTCTTTATCTGCTCTAATTCAGACCTTCTTTAAATTCTACTTTGTGGTTCCACTCCTTATCAGAACAAGTCCCACTCTTGTCCTCTGTCTATATCTTGACCTAGATTCTTGTCCTTGCTTTAGCCTCAGCTCCTCTTTGCTCCTTAATCTCTTGCCCCTTTTATTGTTTCAATGCCTGGTACTGCTTTCTGTTCCCTCTCTAGTTTCAGGTGAACCTCCAAAAAGTCCTCAGGTGACGGTGGCCCTCCAAACATCTCAACAGCTGAGATCTATCAGAGTCTAATGGTCTGATTGGTTTAGAGTTGTGCTCTCAAGATGTGATTGGATCTGGACTGTTGTGAAGCTCTCATTGGTTGAGAGGTGAAATAGCTCTGCTTGGTTCCGCAGCGTCTTCAGAGTTAAAACATGTCGGCCTGTTGTTGTTAAAGGCTTTTAAATTGTTGATTCCAGTTTCTACATAATGAATTCAAGTGTTTGACAGTGTCTCAGAGGGATTGTGGGGGTCAGGTTTAAAAAGGTCAATTAAAAAGACTGAAAAGACAAACGCACAACTAATGTCATAAATGTTTTATCATTAACCTCACACCTGAGTCACTTTGGATTGATCATGTAACACCATTCCAGGTACAAAACACTATTTTCTAAAACTCAAAATACATGTTTTATTAACACATGGGGCTCTGTGACCTCTAAAATGATCTACTGTGCTGTTCAGTGAAGGAGGATTTTTCTTGATCTTTGCACAAACAGCACCAAACAGACAGATTCAATTATTTCTAAATGTCTTACATTTGTAGACGTCAGCAGCAGCAGATATTACACAACAGGGATCTACGATCTAATCATGTTTTTCCCTGGGTCAAACTGAACAGCATTTGTTTAAAGGCACACCTCCTCTCTGTGGTGAAACTGATGTGACTTAACAAAATCACACAGTGAACTATCTGTATTCAATAGTCAAGCCAATCAAGACAGCAGCACAAGGAACTTTTGCTTATCAGCAACTTCATGCAGTCAAACTCAAACCAACCAGAAACTCTTAGATTTAGTTAAAGTGGTGAGTAAGATGACACAACAAAATATTTCTTTTGGCCTATTTGATTGCGGTTTGAATAATACATTTTTCGGATACAATCCAAAAATTTGCTCGAGTCACAAAGAAGAACAGACAACACATGTACACAGTTTGCACACTGCAGTGGCGTTATAAAACAGAGGGCTGGCTGGTATCTGTCAAGATATTTGCAGCATAATATCTGTTGATCTAATCAAATATTTTCTTTTCAACAGCTGCTATATTATGACAGAATACAGCTAATAACAAGTTTATGTGAGTTGGAGAACAAAACAAGAAACTAAAGTGTTTTCTTTACAATTCAGTCAAAAAATGCAAAAGACAGAAATCTAGTGATGGACCCCACAGTCGGAGCTTTAAACTAATTCCTGGTCTCAGGTATTACAGGACATGTTTTTGGACTACGAACTTTAAAAAATAAAAAATAAATTCTCACAGTATCTTAACAATAATGTTGGTATCACCACATACAGTATCGATATCAACAAAACTCAGAAATTCAAAGTAATATGTACATATAAACATATAATAACCACAAACAAACCTAAAACTTTCTGCTCTGTTTGACCTGCTCTATGTGCTGTAGTCTGTTCTTGTGTAACCTGCATATTCTATTCTTTTCTATCTCTACTCTGTCATCTAAAAACACACAAGAGTGACTATGATCCATCATAGTGCTTAACACTCAAAAGTTGGTCAGGAATTTGTTTCACTACAAACCAAATCAAAAACCTGCACATGATTGTCTGAGGACAAACAAAGTGCTGGTCACGGCATGAAGGCTGACGGGAGCCAGAGTCATATGTTCAGTGTTGTCACGTGGATCAAACACCACTGTTGAGGGTCTCTGGAGCAAATCACTGAAACCCAAACTGCTCCGGTGTAACAGGTCAATTCAAAGTACACTCCAATTGTTCTAGTCATGGGTTTGGATGAAGGAGTGACACATTTGTCTATTCAAGTATGTGTGTGTGTGTGTGTGTGTGTGTGTGTCAGGCCAGTAGGTGTCTCTGGCTACATGTCAACAGGTGTGGCAGAAAGTATGAGGCGGTGCCATCGTCAGGTATCAGCTCCAGGAACTCTGTGGGGCTTGTCTCCATGGCAACCACAACCAGCGTCTCTGTTGGTAGAGAAATGGGGCATCATTGTCTCATCATTGTCATCCCTTGTCAAAACCTGGTGCCTACAGTACATTACCCATAATGCAACTTGACTCAATTCACTCAACTGTTCAGTCAAATTTGTGTTTGTTGCTCATTTTGGCTCTGCTGCTTTGCAATTCTAAATATAATGAATAGATTTTAAGATGTTTTAATTATCTGAATGTATCATGTTTTATGTATTCAACTAATCAATCATATTTTCTGTACGTACAGTTTACCATCATGAAGGTCTAAATGCTCTCAAAACTCTCTCTGGACTTGAAGGACCAAACTTTGAACTTTTACCTAATATAGTTTTTTAATAAAGTTTTTTTTTTTTTATCTAAACTTAAGGTAGGACAATAGTCAATCTTTCATTAATTAACTGTTCTGTTGGCTTAAAAGGTAGCCACATTTAAATACACAAAACATGTAATTATTAGCATAACCCAACTCATTCTTTCCATGTGCACATTTGTTACACCCAATAATCAGTGTCGTCAGTGTGAGTGACCCTAATTTAGTTTCCTGATCTTGTTACGATGTTGGATTGTTGTTAAACCTGCTTGATATCTTCGTCAACAGTGCATGTGCCAAACTGTCACTCTGGCCATCATCAAGTCAAAAACGACTCTGGGTAAATATAAGATAGCCTTTGATGAAACCAAAGGGGCTTTAAAGTAAATAAAAAAAAACAGTACTGGAGTAGTTTTGGCAGACTGATGGTATTCTGGGAGAAGCTTCTACCTTTGAGAGCAGCCAGTAAAATGCTGTTATCTGTCGCAGCTCTCGTCCTGTTGCACAGCTCTGGGAGCAGCTTCTGCCACCACAACGCCTGCAGAGATTAGACAAGGCAAGCAGTTTAACATGAGAACATGTAGACATGATACAGAGGGAGGGTAAAGGTTACACAGTTTACAGTTTAGGCTACTGCTCAGTACAGACCATATGTTTGTCTTGTAACTGGTGGTTGGCGTAGGCTATGATGGCCTGAGGACAGCGATCCAGCAGCTTTTCAATGCTGCTGTTGTACTGCCCCCTTCTGGTTGCACAGAGGAGGTGCAGGCTGAAGCCCCACAAGGTTTCCTCTGACAGACGCTCCATCAGGGGCACGACGGAGCCCACAGACAGGGACGGACCACACAGGAGAGACTGGAGAGACGGATATAGACGAATATACAAATGAAATCAAAGAAGAAAAAAGGTAGGCGACGGGGAGACAATGTGACTTTTAACAGATGGAATAACAAAATCTTTGTCCTACAATTACACAAGTTGAATTCATAAGCGACAAAAACATACCTTTGCTCAATTTAACACACACAGCTTTTTTTCCTCCGTCACAGCCTGAGTTGGGTTGGTATAACCAGTAGCTTACAGTGGCTACTTCTTACAAAATTTGGATAGATATATTTGTGCGGCTGTTTAGGTCCAAAGCCAGGGTTTTAGAAACACTGAAGTGATATGTCTAAGTCGACTCACAATCTCATACTTTCTATTGATTTGTAATTTGTCATGTTTGATTCTTAAAAAATATTCTGTTTTTTTTATTTTGCAAAAGTTCTATTCATTTAAAAACAGCTGTATTTGTCTTGAAATTCTCTGACGATGGTCTCAAGTTGTTTTCTGAGAGGTTCAGGAATAGATTATGTTGCAAAAAACTGTTTAACTGATGTATTTATTCCATTATATATTTTATTTCATTGCATTTTTACACTTGGAAACATATCTGAACATTCCATCCATTAGGCCAATACAAATATTGTAGTCTACTACATGTACACCATACCCTCCTCCCCTATTAATTGAAAAGTGCACTTTCATGGGTGCTACCATCGTTGTGTGACGTCAGACAACGGCTTCTACATGAAGTTGAGTTTACAAGTAGGAACTCCGACTCTGAATGGTGTTCTGTTGTACTTTTCATAGTGCGAAAGCATAATTTTTCGTGTACTAGGTTGTCTGGATCTTTGCCTTGTTTTAGAGCTGATAACACCATGAAGGCCTCGGTCACCTCTATCAATGTCACTTGATGCTAGATACTTACTGAGGCAACTTAATTTAAGGCATATACAGTAGTAGCAGACTTGTTTTGTTCAAAGAGACATTACCTGCAGTTTGTACAGCGCTTCCTGGTGTTGGGAGCTGGTATTGTGAGCTGGATTGAGAACAGTGAGCCATGGGTACAGAGCACCATAATGAGAGCATGAGTTTATCTGAAACACACATAAACATGCAGTCCTCTTAGTGCATGAGAGAGATGTTCACATGAATTGATTTCTGAGCTATTTATACATGGTGGTGGTGATTTTCTGGCAGGAGATTAAGGTGGTGGACAAACATCACAAGTCATTTTACAAGAGTCCAAATAATTTGAATTTCAAGCAGGTCTCAGCCACACAAAGAAAACAGCAGTCATTTTTAGTCACCGTACCAGATCGTCAGCACTCTTCAGCGACTTGCGTCTTGAGGGTGTGTGTGGTTGGTTGGAGTATGTGTCTGATTTGGTGTTGGCCAGTCGGTCGATGTAGACAGACGCCAGACGGAACAGAAGTTCCTGGATGACAGCGTCCTGTGAGGAAGCCATGAGCATCGCCTCCCAGAAATCCACCTGTAAGCAATTCCCACAGCCCAGCTCCTAACACACACACACACACACACACACACACACACACACACGTTTTAAATGTTATCTTTTCAAGATCACACTTGCAACTAACCAAATGTCAAAAATCAGTTAGATGATTCCACTTCTAGTCTCCTAGCTGTCATGCAGAGCTGTGATGATCATTTGATTAATCGAATCGATCAATTAAATGAACCCCCAACCAATCTGATCATTGATTTATCAGTATGAGTAATTTAAAAAAAAAAAAAAAAAAAGAGGGACAATTCAATGGTCCCAGTTTCTTAAATATGAAACAGAAACAGAATATAAATGTTTTGGACATAACAAGACATTTGAGAACATCATCTTAGCATTTGGGAAACAATAATTGTCATTTTCTGACATTTTATAGACCAAGCAACTTATTGACTGATGAGAAAATAATCAACAGATTAATAATCAATGAAAATGATCAATAGTTCACCTTGAATATGTGATCAGCCTGTTCCAGCTGAACTTTGTTGTTTTCATGTAAAGCCACCATGGCGGCCACCAGCAGTCCTGGTTGGGACTTTGCCAACTGGCGTGTCAATGCTGTGGGACGGATGTGTGTGTGCTGACCTCCACCTGCGCCATGCAGCAACAGCCTCGGCTCCTCAATGAACCCGTACACCAGCAGCATCTGAACAACACAAACACAGACATTTGTCCTTATCTGCACTGTAGGAATGACTCATATATGTTGTGTAATTATTTAGCCTGGTTGTTCCTGAAAGATCAGGAGTTTTTTTTGTAAAGGAGACCTATCATCAAAGAAGCATCAAGTCTAAACATTACTAAAATATTAAGTGTCTTGAAGCTTTATAACTTACACATAATAGTAACACCCAGGACATAAGGTCAGAATGTCTGAATGATTAACTTAAGTATCTAAGTTAGGCATTAGTATTCATTACGCCCTTCAGTAGTCTACACTGGAACTCTGGTGAACATATAAAGTTAATATTTTACTATGAAATATTTCTCACTTTGAGGTTTAAAACAAGGTGTGTCCACCTTGAGACATTGTCTGGCTGTGCCATATCCAACCTGATCAGTCATCATCCCAATATCTGCAAATCTGCACCATGCTCCTCCTTTGAAATACTATATTCAATAATTGTTCAATGCAAACATTAAAGGAAGTTTAAGATTTTTTACACAAACAAAACTATACAAACGTCACCACACTGGTGTTACATGAAAAAATAGAAACATCTATCAGAGGCCTTCTATTTGTATTTAAAAGATAACTGTTTTTGAAAAGTTATACTATAATCTCACTATATAATGACGAAAACTCTGTCTGTCTGTGGCTGTGTGTGTGGGTGTGTCTGTTCCACATTTTTCTCCTCACTGACTTGGTCAATCCTAGACTCACAAGTCAGTCTTTAGACGCTTTGCTTAACTAAAGACTGATGTCTTTCTCCCTGATTTTGTGTAAGATGGGCGGATACAATTTCAGAGTTTAAAAAAACTCCCTACGTTGCAGAACCAATAGTAAATCCGCAGAGTGGTCCTTCGGTGGCTCGCTGAACTTTTGTGCTCGTAAACATAGTCCGACTGCGTTAAAAGTTTTAAACAAAGTAGCTGTAAGGCCTTCATTTCCACAATCTTCTGGACTGAGCACACGTTTGATAAAACGGAGTTAAATCTCTCGGCATCCATTTTCAAGCTCTCTGTGTGTTTGTGTCCTTGCGGACGAGAAAAGGGGGAGCGTACATTTCTGGGAGGGCGTGTCCTTTTAAAAAATGCAAGAGGTGTTGCTTTGTTTGCCGGACGTTTTCTTTGGTGTGTTAAACACACTTTAGAAAGGAGTGTCCCCAGACTATCAGAAGGTGGAGATCTCCGATTGTCTGGTGGCGCGACTAGGTCAATCCATGTGAAATTTGGCACAGTGGTAGAGGGTCATGGGAGGATGCGAATGAAGCAACATTACATCAATTGGCCAAAGGGGGGCGCTATAGCAACCGATTGAAATTGCAAACTTTGAATGGGCATATCTCATGCCCCGTATGTCGTAGAGACATGAAACTTTGCACAGAGATGCCTCTCCTCATGAGGAACACATTTGCCTCAAGAAACCATAACTTATGATTATATGGATTTTCCACCATTTTGAATTTTTTGAAAAACACTTAAAATCGATCTCTTCTTAGGAAGTTTGACCGATCTGCATGAAACTCGGTGAACATAATCTAGGGACCAATATCTAAAGTTCCCTCTTGGCAAAAGTTGGAAAATTTACTAAAACTGATCTTCTATAAGGCAATGAATATTGCAGAGGGCGTGGCTCATCACATAAAGGTGTATAACATCTCAAGGGTTTCACCGATCACCACGCAATTTTGTAGGCATATGACCACACATAATCTGAGGGGACCCCTCCATTATTGACCCCATCAAACAAAATGGGGGCACTAGCGAACTAATTTCTTATCTAGGCCTAACTGCCTTATCGATTTTTACTAAACTTGGTAGATATGTAGAACAGGACACCCCCTTTTTTGGGGGGGCGTCCTGAGAGAGCAAGGAAGACATGCAGCAAAGAACGAAGGCCTGATTCCAACCCCCACTGCTGCAACAAGGGCTAGCCGCACCTTTCCCATGTGAACTACCAGTGCTCCCCACTTTTAAGTCAATACAACATATAAACACTGTACGTGGGCAACTGTGCACTCAATGGGTATGGACTAGTTATTTGTACACATAATTTCTTGTAATGGACCTATTACATGCACCTTTGATAGCGAGTATGTATTATTGGATTACTGATTACTGAGTTAGGCTATAGATACACATACATGTACATGTACACACTGTTAAATAAAGAATAAAGTTTTGATTTCATTTTTTTTCTGCAAAAGGTAGGAACCCTAAACACACACCCACACACACACACACACACACACACCCACACCCCCACCCACACACACACACACACACACACACACACATCATTTTCCCTCTAACCTCTGCGTGTCTTTCCATCAGCTGTGTGTACTGTGGCAGGTCGTCCAAACACAGCATCATGGTTGCCATGGTGACTGTCAGAGGGACTGACACGCCGGCAGAGTCCTCCAGATGTTGTAAGATTTGCAGTGTCTGTGCAGGGCTGACGTTTATCATGGACGGGCTGGCACACACGCTGACGAGCTGTGAGGGCTCTGATTGGCTGAAAATGTTTATGACCTCATCAGCTGCTTCCTGCAGAAAGACAAATCTTTAATTCCTCTTTTTTTTACCTTTTTTTTTTTTTTTTAAAAATTCTTATTTTCGAGATCAGGTGATACAAGTGTTTAGTGTAACACAAACAAAAGAGCTGATGAACTGATTAATATAAAAATGATGCAGTGTACTTGAATGAGTCCTTCACCGAATCAGCAGTACATGTTTTGTCTCATTGCCTTCTTACTTTTAATCCCTTTTACATGTAGATAGAAGCAGATAGAGACGGTGTGTTTTTGTTCCATATTGTTCATTCTAATGCTACAAAGTAAAAGTCATACTAATTTATTCCATATGGCACCTTCAAAACAGATCGCTAAATAGTAAAATTCTCCCATCATAACAAGCCAAAGCATGATACAAGCAGAATATGAAGCTTTGCTGTTTTTTCTTCTGCGTTTATGTGTACCTGACTGAGGATCTGCTCTGCTTCTTCTAACAGGAAATGCTTCAGGTAGAACAGGAAGCCGGGGCCGTAGGAGTGAGGGCTGCTGGGATGCGGACGATTCCTGGTTATGATCTCTGTGACTGACAGACCAGACATCCTGTAGTACGGCAGAGCCAGGTGGCAGTCCTTCTGACTGCTCCTTACACAACAGAAAATAAAAAATAATCATTTTAACCTTTATATACTTTTATTTACTATCTATACAATTGTTTACATGTCTGTATGTGTATATATTACTTTTCATTATGCATATACATTTAGCACATCCATGTTTACATTGCAGTATTTCACGTTGCAATTACTGTCTACCACAAATATATTTCATTGTATTATATGTATGTTTTATTTTATTGCTTTTGCACTATTTTATGATGTAGGTGTGTTTTTCTTTTTATACATATTTACATTAAATGAGCAGTGTGAAAGGGCGACTAAGATATATGATTTGCATTGACAATGACTGCTTCTCTGTAATTGTTGTGCATGTGAATAAATAAAACTTGAATTTCCAGCTTCTCAAATGTGAGTATTTAGTGTTTTTCTCTGTAAATTAGATTTTTTAACTGCTGGCTAGCAAAGTAAACAATTTCAAGATGTCGCCTTGAGCTTGAGCAAACTGTGAAGGGCATTTTCAACTATTTTCTGACATTTATGGATTAAACAATAAAATAAAATAATAACAAGTAGCACATTTCTCAATAATAGAAATTAAATGCAGTCCTGAATAGAAGAGAATTGACTCAAATATGATACATATCAATGACAGACTATGCAATTAACAGAATCTCTAACTGTGAATGTTAAAAAATCATTACAATTGTTTATTAAAATAAGTTAAAATGAGCATGGATTAAGTAATTTTAAAGGGTTATACAACTGAATTTAATCCTTAGTATCTTAAATGTGACTAATATGAACATTGTTCTGCTCTAACTATTTTACCACCGCATTAAACCACTTAATTTAAACAGTAACTTAACAGACAGACAAGATTTTCAGGTGGTGTTAAAGTACTCTTTAAGGTATATTTAAGTGGTCCCTAAGTTTGAAAATTTGATATAGCTGAACCAACTTTTGTGATATAAGGGAACCCAAATTCATATTGAGGGGTGTGCATGATTGTGATATTTTTAAAGCTGTTTTAACAGATGTTTGTCCTTAAGTGCAAATGTGTGTGTGTGTGTGTGTGTGTGTGTGTGTGGGGTGTGATGTGTGTTACCTGCTGAAACAGTCTCCCAGCTGTGCACAGTTCTCCCTGAGTGCCTCCTCCAGCTCTTGCCTGTCTGTCTGTACAACTGTCTGTTTCTCAGCTGGTCTGTCTGTATCTGTCTCACCCTCCACTTTTGGTTGCTGCTCAGGTGTTTGGAGTAAGGAGGCGCGGAGAAGGAGGTGAGCCTCACTGAGGAGGTGCCGAAGGCTTTGGGCCTGCGGGTTGGTCTCTGCATACCGCTGGCTGTATTCCACCTGACACACACACACACACACACACACACACACACACACACACAGGTGAATATACAGACTGATAAACATACAGGATTTGTATCCAGCATGCTTCACATGTTCAGAGAGCAAAATGTGTTTGTGTGTTCTTCTTTTCCTTCTCATTTCTAGATCTTTCATTGTTTTATTTCTTTAGTCTGTTGTGATAATCATTAATAGCTGTGCATATAAAAAAAAGTACACAACCACACAAAGAGACATTAAGATTGAGTGAGTATGTTTGTGTTACCATTTCTTGGTAGAGAGTGAGGGGGGAGACAGTGTCGACCACATAGATGTTCCATCCTTGTCCGGCTGAGCTGGTTTCTTTGGGAGAAGACATTGTCCACCTTCTGCTCCTGAGGTCAGAGGTTACACAGAGGTAACGAAAAGTATAATCAAAACAGAGGGATGAGCTAAATCCCAATGTCTTCTCTCACAGGGGCGATGTTTAGCTGAGCTCAAAATCTGCAGACTGTTCAAATGAATTTCCCACAATTCATAGAATCAGTGACGTCTGCATGAAAGGACAATGAGGATGACTGTAAACATGCATTAAGTTGGCTCCAGTCTGTAGTCTAGAAATTGGGATTCAGCCTGAATATCTCCTATTTTAAGTATACAACATTATAATGGCATTGTCATTAACGCCTAGAGATTTAAATAACACCTGTTGTTTTTCTTTTTCCATTTTTAGGTGGACAGGTGCCCAAACATAATCTTTTTTTTCCTGTAACTGGCCGTCTTTGTAGATGTAGTTTTACAGAACGCTGACACTGAAGACACACACAAACAGTATACTGAACAACCCAATAACAGATATTTTATATAGCAAATGAAGACATGCTTTCAGCTTATGTTTCATGACAGTGCACATGTATTAACAACTATGGAGCCAGAGACGATTTTATACTACTGTCTGCATCACCATACTTAAAGCAAAGGACAACCTTTTGGGTACAGTTGCTATCAAAAAAAAAAAAACACTACTTAAACATATAACTATATTATACATAAACAAGCAAACAGTTAGTGAACAGGTTAACATAGTGAAAAGGTAACCTGGGGCTCCTGTGGTTCATGCTATCTACGTCAGCTGGTCACACTCATTATGGCATGCAGCCTCAAACCTGTAGTTTGACTTTACAGTCTACAAATCACACACCTTTTATAACTTCAAGCAGGAAACGGAGATAATAATGGGGAGATTTATGTTTAGTCACCAAGCTAAGGTTGCTGTCAAAAAGTTCTGCTTGTAAGTTATCTCATCAAGTTTACAATCAAACCCTGGACCATCTGAGGGGCAGATTGACCTTCAAAGACTTGTGCCTATAGTTAACAGTGTAGGTAAAAATATCCATAATTGTCCAGTGAGAAGGTCACGGATGACGGCGATGCTATACACTAAAATTAACTTACTTAAAACACTGCTCTGTACCTGCAACTATTGTCAGTAGCCATATCTGAAGCAAGCACCACTATCTAAATTCCAAGATGCAATTATGAACTCATGTACAATTCATTTTCAGTTTAATAAGGATATAAAGTACATTAAAATAAATGTGTGTGTGTGTGTGTGTGTGTGTGTCTGTATGCATGGTTTACAAGGAACCAGGAACCTGTGCCATACAGATGGATTATTAGGTTAGCTGACTAAAATCTTACTATTTCAGTCCAAAGATAATTAGTCTGTGAGGAAAACTTCACACACATTGAGGGCAGTTAGGTAGGTTATGGTTGGATGGTTGGTTTAGGAACTAAAACAGGAAGTGTTGTCACTTTAAGACTGAGCTGCAAAGGCACATTGATATTTTTAGATCAGCAATTAACCTCGGGCTGAAATCACGGGAACTGCCCATTGGTTCGACAGCCCATTGGTTCGACGTCCCATTGTTCCCACCATATTAAACCCATTGTTCCGAAGTCCGTTCCGAAATCATCATGATGCCCTGTGGTTAAGGTCTGGTTAGATTTAGGCACAAAAACCACTTGGTTAGGGTTAGGAAAAGATCATGGTGTGGGTTAAAATGAAAAAGAAAGTGACAAACACATAAGCCGTGAGCCTGCTCCGCCTCAAGCCTTTCCCAGCTGACCCAGAGCCGGTCGCGGCGCACCATACGCCCACCGCGAGCCGTTCAGCACCGCGGACAGTCGGACTAATGGGATGTCGAACCAATGACATGGACCCGAAATCACTGGCTGTTTTAGGGTTTTAGTATATTGACATATGGAGAAACTTTATATAAAACAAAGACAAGAAAAAATGTTTGAGGAATCTGCAGACCGTGGATATTTTATTTTTTAATTTAATGCAAAATAATGGCCACGTTCTAATGTAATAAAAAAGTAAAGATTTCTCTACGTAGGTTGTGTATTTTCAATATCCAAATCAAATTTTTTAATACGACGTGGCATTCAAAAGGACATGTGCTGTGTTAAAATTGGATTAGTGGCACCGATGTAAATCCTGGATTAACTTCTTAATTACAGAAGGTCTGAAAAGATAAAAATGCTTGAATTTCTTATTTAATGGACACATAATGGTTACCAATCATCTGCTAAGGTCAGTATTTTGAGGGATTCCTGGCGTTGCAGCTCGGCCTAGAAGTGACAACTGAGACTGAGGTGGGGTGTTGGGGTTTGTCTTACAGGAAGGGCCGTGATAGAAGGCTCTCCAGAGCTGGTGTGGTTGCGGGATCGATTCCCACCGCCAGGAAAATACCAGTCAGCAAGGTGTGTTCTTTCAACTCGCTAAAATAACAACGTACACACACAGTGAACAGGTTTATAAATGCATATATGCCTGCACACACACATCAGCAGTGCTGGTAAATCCCTTTTCAGAGTATTCTGGTACCCGCAGAGAGGCATCTGATGACATATCCGATGAAGCTTTTAAACCAAAAGAAGTATGGGTGTGTGATTAACTAATGTGTGCGACTTACAGGCCTCTGCGTTGTGTGATGCGTTCAGGCTCCTCTGGTGTCTCTGAGTCAGCGGTGGAGAGCAAGATAACATGACGGCCATAAACACACACCGAGCGCAGACCAATGAACAACTGCATCCTGAGCGCACACACCTCCAGGCTGCAGGGTGGACAGGCCTTCCAACACACACACAGAGTGGAGAGTGGTGAGACTGAACCACTGATCAATCAAGAGGCCACAAAGCATGACTTCCAGGTTAGCCTCATACCTTCATGGTGGTATCGATGTAGGGGTCTTCTATCCTGGCTGCTACTGCTGCACAGCGCACTGTGAAACACTGTAATGCACTCCTACCAGGCACACACCAAAATCAAGATAGACACTTAACTATATGCCATATAGGGATCTTTAGACTACATTGGTAAACATATTCCCTTTAAAAGGGATATTTCGTATAGTGTGGAGTGGAGTTGTATGATGTACTTTCCATAGTCAGTGAACTACCTAAAGTAGATGGTGGTCAACACACCCTCATTTTGGAGAAGCAGGCAGGAGTACTAACATAGAAGCTAGGCAATGTACTGCTGTGGACGGGGGCAGCAGCAAAACATATTTAAGCCATCTATTACATGTCCCACCTAAAAATAAATCAATATCCAATTGAACTGACATTATATTTGAAATATTTTCAACACTATACTTTGCCGTCACACAGCCCTTTTCAACGGGAAACTGAAGCTGTTATTCATCTATGCTCTCTTTAAAGCCACAAGACTCTTTCTTTCAAAACGGAAATTTCACCTGACAAAACAGGGGGTTGTCTAGTCTGCTGCTGCCTTGATTGGCTAGTTAAATTGTGTTAATGTGTGACTGAGTTCAGATTCACCAAAGTCACACAACAACATAAACTAACCGATAGACCGGTAGACCAGCAGCTCCAGTGATCTGCAAGGTAAAATTATTTTCTTTGTCAAAGCAGTCTGGTGGCTTTGAAGAGAACATAGATGGTTAATGGCTTCAAGTCCTCTTTGGAAAGGTCTGTCTGACGGTAAGAGAAAGCAGTGAAAATATACTAAATATAGTGTACGCTGAAACTGATATTGATTTACTGAGGTGATTAAAATATGTTTTGCTGCAGCCCCCATTCACAGTAGTACAGTGCTGAGCTTCTGTGGTGGTACTTCGGTCGGTTTCTCCAAACTGGGAGTGTGCCGACCAAAATCTATTGTAGGTAACACACTAAGTACTGTATACAACCCCATTAAAAAAAAGTCCAAACAACACCTATAGGTCATTTAGTCTAGTACTGATGCATTGAATCATTCAGTTTCACTTTCAAAAGACTCAAAGTTAGTTCAAATGATTTGCCATGACATGGATGAGGATGCTTTTACAAACAGTGATTCAGTGAAGATGAACTCATTTCCATATCAGATCAGACGGAAGACATACTTTGTTATGACATGCAGCAGGTGGTCTGTTAGCACCGCCTTCAGGACCTTCTCTGGATACTGATAGGCTGAGAGAAGCTCCACACCACCCTTCAAACTGTACAGGTAGCCGGCGTTGGGGAGAGAGAAAAAGCAGAACACACATGCAGGTTCTTCCAGAGGCACTGACTGGTTACCTGGAGAGAAAAAGACACTTTACTGTAATTCAATGCTCATTTAAAATCTTTTTCAATGCTTTTAACTACATGATGGAGTGACTGAAATAATGTTGTGGTTGCCAATTCATGTGCACAGTTATTTTGTCTGTTATGAAGTCCCAAAACCTTAAAATCTGGTTTAACCAGTAAAAGAAAGTGACAATTCCATTCATTCATAATACTATCCAACTTTAACTTAAAGAGAAAAACCTTAACCGTTCATCTGGGGCTGAGCGACCCATGGATTCACAATTCAAGCTGGATGATTCATGAATTTTCTAGAATCAGATGTTATTTACTGTACTAGTGCAGCAATAAGCCTTGTTCCCTCATGTTTCAAGATGCTGACAATTATTCTTTTTGAAAAAGTCCTGATAGAAAAAGAGATCGAGAGAAGCAGCACGGATAATGTGGAAAAAAACAACTCGGTCAACTTACAACATTCTTTAGAAAAATAGATCTTGAGTATGAAGAGGAAACATCTTCATGTGCTAGTATTGATAGAACTGGGAGCAAATGTTGTGCAGGGCTTTGCTGCAAGTTTGGGTTTAAGTTTAACTGGCATGACTATATAAAGGGATTGGTTCAAAGTTATTCCATTTACTGCTTTATTGATATTGGTCTGACATGCAGTGAAGAAGGTGAGAAGTAAACCCACTGTATCAGTGGGTTTGTGTGAAAACACATGCTGCTTTTAAATGAACACCCTTTCTTTCTATGTCAGTCTACATGCATCTCTGTGTCTCATACTGTGTGCTGTACTGACTGGTGAAAAGTGGGTAAAGCTGTAGGGAGTGGAGTTGAGTCTCCTCAACGCTGCAGCCCTGGAAGAAGTCTGGAGTAAAACGCCTGCAAGAGAGAAGTGACACCTGTTAATTACACTTCACATGACAAAAATACACTCACTTTAAAGATCTGAAATACAGACACACCTGAAGAGAACATATGACAGCGTGTACTGTCCTCTGTCCTCAAGCCCGGTCTTTTCAATGCTGACAGGGATGTCGCAGTCTTTGGCTCGATCGCCGAGCAGCTCCTGGTGTCTCGGAAGCACCATGAAGTCTGCCTGGTCCTCTAGATGATCTGCTGCTGCACTCACACATTAATACACAGACACACACATCACAAACTGTTCTCTCATGTGGTCACACTAGACCATGCCACACTAGAGCCTGATTTTTACGGTCTTAACATAACAAAAAACACGCAGAGGTGAAATTAATCATCAAAGAAGGCAACAAACCCAGATGTTTCTGTGTGTCCGATGATTCATCCAGGATGTTTGGTTCAGAGGATGCATCCAGTTTCAGAACCAGCACCTCCAGCTCTGCCTGCACGGCTAAATATGCTCCACACAGCGCCACCTACAAGGGCAGAGGAGATTTTAGAGTTATCAAATTCACAGACTGTGACTTTCAGTAATTTGAACTCTGGAAATACCTGAACAGAATGTAAGTCGTCTGTTTGTGAAATTATCGAGAACTGTTTAGGATTTTCCCTCTTTTCATCTTTTGTTACAGACACAGTTCATACTACCATCTTATAAGTGATTGCTGATTGATTTATTTTAGTTATTAAAAGAGTTTCTGGGGAAAAAAAGATGAAAACCAATGTGGATATTATACAGACATGTCAAATATAAAGCACAGTTAATATTGATCATAATTACTGTGTCTAACAACTCAACAAAGCTGTACCACTAGTAAGTATCATGCATTATACCTACTTTAGAGATTATGTGCATGTTCAACTGCGGACACCAGACCAGTTTAATATGGTGTTATTTACTAGTATGACTGTGTAGCAGATAAGTAGATACCACAAAAAATGAAGAGGAGCACAAGTGTTTGAAAGTACCTGTTTAGGCTTGATCTTTGGAAGATGCAGGATAACTGAGCGTTCAAAATCCAGGAAATTCTGGTTTGAACTCGAGGTCTGACCTGAAAGCAAAGAGAGGTCAGATCAGTCAGAGCAGGAAGCAAGGAAGGAGACAGCAAAGTGGACCTTTTGTCATTTTCCAAAGCCCTTTGGTTTCCATTTCCTCTTCAGGGAATGGAAACTGGAATACTCCACTTTATACACATTTTGGGTTACATGCAAGTTTTTGTACAAAATGAGTCTTTTCCTGAAAACATGTTCACAAATATGTGTTACTTTTCCTGAGTTACCTTGAGTCTGACTGGAGCTCTGCTGAGAGTTCGGCCAGGTGCTCTGAAGGATCTGCTGACTCTGAGTCTGCTGTTTTCACCAGAGAAAGCAACATTATGCCACTGCAACATTAAGCCTATCATTAAGAGTCCACTCATGTTGTTTAAAGTAGGTAATAATGACAAAAACCTGCTCTATATGACAGATTAACCTGATGATAAAATAATAAATGTATACCGATTTGATATTTTAGTAGTTTTTTTTAAGGATTAAAGACAAAATGGAATTTTTATTTTAATGTTCTGCCAATTCCTGGAAAACCCTGAATCGTTAATGTTGACCTCATACTGTACTAATAGGTCTGATCATTTAATCTAACTAACAGAACTATCACAAAAACTTTAGTAAATAAACCTCCCCCTTCTGCCCCTGCTTTTAAATCAAACACCTTTTCTCTCTTCAATACTTAAGACAAAGGTTTACCCTTTTGATGGATCCCTCACTGTGTTCTTACTGCTGCAACAATTCATTTCAGGAATTATACCTTCTCAGGAAGTAAAACTGCCATTTAATTTCAGTCTTTAAATCGAGATAATCTAAATAAGGTCCACAGAGGAAGTCAACTCCCAGATTAGCAGCTGGACTCTCACCAGACTCTGCTGGTTCTGCCTCCTCAAAGCGAACAGAACCAGAGTGTTCTCACAGCCAACCAGAAGGTCTCCAGTTACTGGGCAACACGCCACAGCAAAAGGACGTTCTGATAGGGGGATCTCAATGATCTCCATCTGCACTCCACTCCGCACGGATGCCCCACGCAGCAGGTGACCCAACAGACGCACGCCGACACGGGCTTTTCCCTCCGCCTAAATAGAACACAAGAAGTAACCACATGGAAATACATGGAGTAAAGAATTTAATAGTGCAGTTGAAAAACCTCCTGTTCAGACAAACATTCATAGAAAATCTAGAAGTCTATCAGTCTATTTAAAGGTGATTTGCCTTTGGTATATTTCTACACACATCAGTGGAGCAACTCAAACCAGGCTGAATGTTAATTCCACAATGAAATACATAACTGTCATTAAAGGCATCTTCTAGTTCATATAATATGGTTTAAATTAAGGTTACATATCATATATAGAAAACAGAGAAAGTATGGGTTGTCCTAATGTTTTATAGCACTCTAAATACTTGTGAGAGAGCTTAGCTGGTAAGTGTGTACCTGGTGGCGCCAGTTGGTGTAGGCTCTCAGGTAGGTGGCGCTGTTCTTTTCCTCAATGGTCACCAGGTAATCTCCTAAATGTGAGGGGCGGAGGCAGAAAGGAAAGCAGGGAATTTAAAATGTTTCTCTCTCTATCCCACACTGTTACCACTACTGCTGCTGGCTGCCTTGCTCACATGTAAAAAGAAACAAAAAACTGCTACAGGTGAGTATTGATTCTTGTGTAGTTGCTGTTGTAGAGACGGAGGCTGACAAAGGGAGATAGGTCATGTTGTTACCTATCTTGCTGTGCTGGATGCTCTTCACATTGCCCATGGTGGCAAAGCGACAGATGAAAGTGCAGCCCTCCTGCTCCACACTGTAGGCCTCCACCTTGGTTCAGTTAAACACATCACACGGCAAAGTCAGTATCATCCACAAAAGTTTATCTCTTAAGAATTGAGACAATCTGAGTATTCCCATGATCTGCAGATATTTAGGTGTGATTATATAAGGTTACACTACATAGATTCTACCAGTGAGGGTATATTTTAATTACACACAAATATATTAAAAACAGAACAACTATGGGTTAGAAATATGCAAATTTTAAAGGCAACCTTGCATCCTCCAGTAGCGACCACAAAAAGCGTTCCACCTCCACAGCAGACCAGTCCAGGCTCCTGCTCCACCTGTGCCATAAAGAGGAGAAGAACATTACTTAAAGACCTGATACAAATACAAAATGGTGATTATCATTGTAAAAACAGGCATCGGTACCAGCCAGGTTCTACCTACCTGTACTATCTGCTGTGAGGCGAAAGGATGGCAGTTGTAGACGTGCACCATGTTTGGTCCACTTCTTGAAGAGGGGATTTGGTCCAGAGTGGAAATTGTTTACAGCTGCTTTCTCTTCTTTTGATTGCTGAGATAAGTATCAACTCCTCTCCCTTATCTGTGTTTCTTGGCAGCTTCATCCAGCAGGACACCTTCCATCATAAAAAAAGCATTTTAATATAGTCGAATGCAATTTTCCATCGGAATACGGACTCGTATTAGAGCTGGACAGTTTATAGACATCCCATTTCAAACATGCTGCTTCGGTGACAAGCAGGTTAGTTTGTTTTTATTTGACCAAGGAAATCAAATCACATGTGATTCTTTAATATGTACTGTAAAACATATTTCTTGAATGTGTGGCACAGCATTTCACTTGGAAAATTCACATTTAGTCTAGTCATTTCCTGACACTTTTACTTGGGATATGTTCGCATGAAAACAACAGGCACATGTGATTTTATGATATTTCACATTTGCAATGCAAGACATGTAAAAACCTCAATTTAACATGTAATATGAAGCTGCAAAGTTTATTCTATTCATTGATTATCAACAGAAAGTTGAAATGACAACAATTTTGATTATTGATTCACCGTTTCTGAAATGTTTTCAGCAAAAAGACAGCAGAAACCTCTGGTTTCAGGATCTGAAATGTGAGGAATTGCTGCTTTTCTTTGTCATATGACAGTAAATTGAATATTTTTTGTATTTTGGACTGTTGGTTAAACAAAACTAGCAAATTGGAGACACCGCTTTGACCGTGGAGAAACTATAAATGGCCTTTTCCCTACTATTTTCAACAGGCATTTCCACAGACTTAGTGATTAACCAAGAAGATAATCAGTGGATTAATGGATAATAAAAGAATAATTGTTAAATGCACCTCCAATGTAATATCACAAGCAAACCACCTTCTACATGTAGCAAATTACATATTACAACAAGTACAAATAAGTTAAACAGAAATGTATTTGTGCTGCTGAAAGAACTGAAAATGGCATTTAAAAAAATAGCAGCAACCCATGTCTCCAAAGAGACAATTTCTTTGGCACAAAGGAGTTTACAAGAAAAACAAACTGTTCACTGGAGAAGTATTACAAGAACCATCCGCATCCATTCTTTAGGACTGCATTACATTTATTATTTTCTTTCTTTTCTTTAGTAAAATAACCTGAGACTGCCTGTTTGCTCTTCGTATCAACCCAGTACCACCTACAAACCTTACTGTTTATAGCTTAATCTCTTCTAAAGCATCACAGTCAACTCTAAAGCAGCACATTGTTGACATCGAGGTACTCAGTCAAACACAACAAACCTTGATCAGCTTATATCCTCATCTACGGTCTGACAATTTAAAGCCAATGTACCAAAGTCAAAGTATTACAATAAAATAACAACACATGCAGTACGACCAGACACTAACTTCAGTGTTGAATTCAGCTTCCCCTGCATCTCTAGCAGTCCACCAGGAGCTGAAACAGGCCAGTCTTCAGTGTGTGTTTCTCTAATCGATATCACATGCCGCAGTCTTGTGAGCAGCAGCAGAGGGTGTGTAAATCCACTTCACTTTCACATAGTTCCCTTTCGGTTTAACACACACTCTGGTGACACACAGGCTAAAGCTACTGAGTCTTTAAACAGCGGGGAGGAACATGTTCTTTGTAAAGTACCTACTTTTGCTGCCAGAGCTTCGGTTTCTTCTCTTTTCCGTCTTTAGTGTTCACTGCTGCAGGTTATTGATTTCACGCTGTAATGAAGGAAGTGGGCCGTCAACCACAACACCAAGGCGCCCGCCTACTCTCGATTTCCATTGGCTTACCTTCCTGTCGGTATTGCGTTAAACGTTCTGATTGGCTACCGAGCTGTCATATTCTAAACAGTAGATCTGTCCCTGTTGTGACTTTTTTGTGATTTTTCTGTTTTTATAGACCTTAGTTTAACCTTATTTGTCGGCATTTTCCAATGACTTTATGTCTGGGGTATTTTCGCTTTGTTTCATGGCTATGTTAAAACCCGGGCGCAGAGGGCCAGTGTTCTCAATACATGTTTTTGTTTGTTTGTTTGTTTGTTTTATTTTACTTAATCTGTCATATTAAATTCAGCAGCAGCGCATCAACACCGGATGTTCAACTTTTAAGCTTTTATTTGTCAACATATTTCTACATTATTCAATTAAATACTCTGTTGTTGAAGATGAGGTTGTATGTGCAAATATGAAATAAGGAAGAAGACTTTTGCCATCTCATTAGTATTACTTTTTCTTTAAAAAAAAAGTACAAACACTTGACTTCAAGATACAGACAGACAGGGAGTAGCTATTTTTTTAAAAGGTAGTTTAAAAGGGATTAAAATTAAACAAACGAATACATTGTGTGCATACACCTTGTTAAAAATAAAGCTTTCCTGGCTACAGGGTAGGTTTAAATGTCTCCATCCTGCTGCAGTTACATCAATTACTGGATCTTATTCTTTGTAAAAGACTCAGTTTGTCCAGAATATTTTTTATTTTCTTTATAAAACAGATGATGAACAGCTTGAGATGTCTGAAGAAAAATAATTGAAATCTCAATAATTTATCTAATTTTTTCCACATTCGAAAACTGAAAAAACAAACAAACAAACAAAAACAAAACAACTCGACAACTGTATAGCCTTTGACTGGGTCCTGTCTAATGTCTATTAATCATATAAAAATTGTATCAGTTCTGGACAGTTTTAGAAAATTATCCTTACATTTGGTGCTTTTACTCGATATGCATGTATACAGTAACACAGTGTGTTATGAGAGGAGCATTTCGCACAGGGTCCAGGACACTGGCAGGTGATGGTATGCACTGAAATATAAAATAAAGAGCCTTTACACATTTTACAATGTGTGCTTGTTTCACAGCCAAATGACAGTGACTAAAAAGTACCACACGGGGGCAGTAGTTTGCAAAACAGAGAAGGGAGTCATGGAAAAGAGGCATGCAGGTCAGATGTTGTACTGGGGACTGTTAAAAGAGAAATCAGTCACACATCTGCATGTAGGCCTACAAATACGTACACTGAGATATTCCGGCTTCTGTATGGTGTTTGTTTCATGAGGTGCAGGTTTTGTTCTGTGTATTTTGATTTGCGGCCTTTATTTTGTAGCTTCCTGTGAGAACGGAAGTGTTTTAGTTTGAAAGGAGCACCGACGGGCGTAAATATGGCGATGACGTAAGGAAGATGTGATTTAAATAGTTGCTGCCAGAGTCTTATTACAGAACAATTAAACCATTCAAAGGCTCTGGTTTCTACGTTTTGTCTGAAATTAGGACTGTTTTTGGAGGGTTAATTGATTTTCAGTTGAATGGGTAAAGTTAAGTAGCTAGTTAGTTTTAATAAATATGAGTTTGTAAGGATTCATTCCCTAAGGTAGCGTGTGTTGCTAACTAGCAAAGTAGCTAATGCAATAATGCTTATTTGTAAGTGTAACGTAATTAAGCTAGGTTATTAATTCTTTTATTTTATGGCCTCCCTGTTAGGATTTACGTGGGTTTAATGAACTTTAAAGGCAACAAAAAACTAGAAAATCAGGCAATTAAGACCCATGCCTAAATATCACCTAAAAATTACTTTTAACTGTTGGCGGGCATTCCAAATAATTAACGTTAACATGTCATTTTGCATTTACTCTTCATACTCCAATTGCAGCACAAAGTAAGGTTGTGCACCACTTAACACGTCATGTTTATTTTTATTATCTCGTGTAGGTACTTGAATGTGACGCGGACGAAGTTTTATCCCTGTTCGTGAAGGCAACATCTCTCCCTCACGCTCTCTCTATCTCTCTGGGTGCTGACAGGTACTTCATGTCAGGTTGTGACTTTGTGCAGACCTCAGTTGAGACAAGTCAGGTTGATGTCATTCGCCGATTGAAACTTTGCAGTAACCAGTGCAGCGTGCCAAATCGAGGCTACTATAAACAGCTGCTCAGACCGGGGGCTCCCACATCAACTCTGCTATTGATCACCAGCAAGTGTGCAGACTACATGCAGCAGTCCGCTGCACCGCATCTGTGTCTCTGTCGCAACTCTCCCAAGGTAAGACCCCTTATGATTTATAAACAGTTGTCGGAGAAACAAATGCAGCAATGCTACAGGACATTTTAGAGGTAATCCACTAGTCAGTGCTGCCTTTCACCTGGCAGGATGCACGTTTGTACACTGTATGTCCACTTGACTTGGACATAATTTAGTGCCTAGTTCAAAGCAAAGATTTTTTAAAAGAGATATAGGAAAAGGCTAAATTAAATCAGCTTTGCACTGACTCTTTGAAATTAAATGTTTGTGGATTGTTGTGTGATTCCCAAATCGTTTCACTTAAAGGACTCTTATATAGATTGACATGTAAAATACTGAATCCTGCTTGTCAGATGTGATTCAGCATCAATAGCATGAAACGGAGTTACACTGTACAGTGAATCCCCTAAAACAATTTTGGTGATACTTGCATTGTAACCTACAGGGATTCAAATAAGAGAAAAATGTGGGGGACCCCTTGTACCATGTTGGACTCTCTCCATAGCCCCTTCAGAAAAACAGATGCTGCTAAGCTGTTTGTAGGTCCACAGTTTCTGCAGAGGGCAGGCAGCTCCTTGAAGGAATGCCCTTACCTCAGAGCTGAGTCATGCAAATTATACCTCCCTTTCCCTCTCTCCCATCTCTTATCTTTTAGCTGTTATCACTGGGCCACAATCATTTAATCCTGAAAATACAAGTTACATTTCATAAACAGCGAGTTCCTTTCAAGCATAGGTTCTTAAATTCATTTTTTGCATACTGTCCTCACAGATTTTTACAAGAGTAGATGAAATAACCAAAATTTGAATTTGCCAATAATAAAAAAGAAGAAGAAGAAACAGCAATATAAACAGCTGCAAGAGTTTTTCACCCCACTGGTAATTTTCTCCGAATTTTTAATACTGATAAGATTCCATACAAGTGATGACTAGTCACAAATTCTCTGCATATCCAACATGTTGTGTTTTATAAGGCAGCAAACAGTGATGCAGAAACATGTTGGCTCACAGCTCCTGAAAATATGTTGGAGATCCAAGCGGGGATGTGGATACAAACCACTGAACAGGTTTTTAGGATGAAATAATCTGTGTGATATTGATTCACTTTTTCAATATACTAATTAGTGTCAGACTACTGATTTAAGTAATATGAGACTGTATTGCTTAAAGGACAAAGTGCAGGAGATAAACTCTGACAGGAAAATGTCTGATTTTATGGGGTTAAATTACACTGCCAAAGTATTTCCTTGTTTCCCTCAGGGCTTGTAAAAGAGATACAGAGACACTTGTATTTAAATAGCCAATAAAGCAAGGAAAATTAGCCTCTGAGAGAACATTCGAATCAGTGTGGGATCAGAGACAAATTTTATATGAAATACAAACCTCCCAGAGGCAAAAATCCAAACCAAATGAAAACTGCTGATATTGTGGTGCAGTGTGATAATAGCCCCTCTGCCTGCAGCACAGACAGTGAAAGTCATCTAGCATTTCACACAAATAAGATGTTTGCAGCTGTGTGGCTACTTAGCTGCAAGCCCAGCCATGCTTGATATGCACCTGTGCGTGTGTGTGTGTGTATGTGTGTGTGTGTGCTGGAGAGAGATAGATAATTTGATGAAGCTGCCAATTGCACAAACCCCTCTGGCAGTGGTTTCAGCTCACACATGTACACGTGCATCAAATGCAGGTAGCTGTGGAGTGCTTTAACTCTACGGAACAATCTGAGATGACATTGTAGAGTAATTGGATAGACTTACAAAAGGAAGATGGAACAAGGGACAAAAAGAGATGAAAAAGATGCATTAAGTGCAGAAATGAAGACGGACTATGGAAATACGCAGATGAGGCACGAAGAGGAGTTAGGAGATAACTGCACATTTACTTCTAAGATTTTGAAGCAGTCGGGAAAGAATAATATTGGAAATAAAAGAAAAGACAGGAAAAAAGATAGGAAAAAGAGGACGAGAATAAGAATGAAGTCAAGTTTGGAGGGTAAGGGGAAAGGGAAAAAAGCAAAGGGAAGATGTTTTTAATCAGTCTCCTGACAAGGATAACTGCCTCCCTGTTGTAAAAACAGTAGTTATTCAGTGTCTAACCTGATCCTCTGAGATATGCTCCTCGTGTCATATTCCAGCTGCCTCTATAGTTACTGTAACCTACAGGTAAACACATTCAGACAGCTTCAGACATGTTCTCTAAAGGCAAGCATACAACCACAGGGAGAAAATGATATTCTGTCAGATGTTTATATTCACACCTCAAAGACAGTTCAGGGGAGGTTACAGGGCATCTCATCATCAGCACACAGAACACTGAGCACAGATCAACAGACATAGGTTTTGTTGGATTTTACGTTGGAAGCTCATCAGCTAATAAGCTTGTGACCCTGGGATACCTGCTGAGGATGCGGAAGGGTTTTCCAACAAGGCTCGGACCACTCTGCCCCAACCAACTCACGCACCGAAGATCTTGCACCATATCCACGTTGCTCTTGTGGTTTCTGCTTGTAGCATAGCATCTTTGATGTTTATTTCACCTAGTTGAGTACATACATCAGAACAGGACAGAAACATGCAAAATCAATTATATAGTGCTTTATATGCTTTGCAAGTGCAACATCAGCACTACTGTTCTGTCTGAGTAAGTTCAGTCACACTTGTTTTATCAAACTTTTTAACAAATAAATACACATTTTAAAAAGCGTTCATGATATTTGTACATTTAATATGTTATTACCCTGGT